ACACACACACACACACACACACACACACACACACACACACACACACACAGAGAGAGAGAGAGAGAGAGAGAGAACAAAGAGTGAGAGTGCTCACATTTATAACCCTCCAAAAGCATGTAACATTTTTGTGTAAAAATTAAGTAAGAAATAATCAGAATTAGTTATGGGACACCAGCAGCTATGCTGTTCTGTCCACTTGGTATCTATAATAGGTTTCAACAGAAGTTTTAGACACATTAGTTTCCTCCAAGAAGAGAATAGTAGGTCTCAATAATTCTTTTGTGTAAATTTATACCATGGTGCTCAGAGGACTTTCCTTATTATCTAATCTAACTTTGAAGACTAGCTACATAATATTAAAAGTTAGCATATCCACAGTTAAATCTGCCATTTCCTTCAGTATTCTTTCTGTGACGTGATGTAATTTATAATGACAAACAGAATCTTCAAAGATAGGAACATGTGCTAAGAGAGCTAAGACCTACTCCAATTTAACTACTTGAGAAGATGTGTAGTGTTAATGCTACTAACTCCAATCACCATCCTCACGTCACCGGTATATCACAGTGACAGAGTCGAAGACAGTGAGAGGAGACCAGTGCATTCCTGCACAGAATCTAAATAATCCACAATGCCAGACTTCTCACTTGCACAAGCACGGAAGTCAGGAGTAAGGAGCTGGGTGTCATAGTGTCATAAAGCCTCAGAGAGCCACTGAGTGGACAATTCTTTCTGAACGGTTGGCTCAAGTACTTTAGAAACTTAAGGACATGATGCCTTCCATGATGTACATCTACCATACTAGACAATAAGAATGTCCCCACATCATATCTTTCTTAATGCTACTGCAATTCTACTTCTTCCAACAGAAGTAAAGATAAACAAGTATGGGATTTTTCTTAAGCAAAACAGTAACTCCACATTATGAAAGCTATAAATTTATTCCAGACAGTTAAACTTGAGACTACCTGGTCCTAAGATTAACAATGGACTTGTCAATCTTTAAAAGGCATTCCTTCTTGCTAACGGTGAATGTTTTGTTGTTGTTGATGTTCAAGCCTACAGCACTGGGTTAGAGTGCTGAGGAAGGACAGCCTCACCTCCTCTGGATGAGATAATCTTCCAGGATGTCGAGACAGCGCACCATCTGAGAGAAGATGAGCACTTTGTGGCCACCTGCGATCAGTTTGGGGAGCAGCTTGTCGATCAGCACCAGCTTCCCAGCCGCCTGGATCATGGCCTGCAGCTGGAAGTCAGAGGCCTCAGAGCTGTGGGATTTCCGGAAATCTTCCAGAATCTTTTCCTCTGCCCCTGGAAAAGAATGAGCAAAACTATTCTTGAATACTTGTAATTAAAAGCTGTTCTTTGTTTTGTAGATTCTGGGGAAATAAAAGAAATCCTAACTACAGGACCAGCAGTCAGATTCTGGGTCTGTACCCTTAGCAGTTTGCAGGAGCAAGATGGCCACCTTACTTTACTGAGAACTCCCTCTAGGAAATTCAGAGTTTGGGACGTCAAGTTCTAACCCAACTAATTCAAGTGGAGAAAATCATCCAGAGTTGGCAGAAGACTTTCATAACTTTGTTACTACAAGATCAACAAGGAAAGGATCCAAGTTCCACCACTACTAGGGTTCCTCAAACAGTTTCACCATCTTTCTAAACCTCTAAAACCAAAGCAAAACACCCAAACCCTGGCCTATAGAGATGGCTCAGTTGGCAAGACCTGAGTTCAATCCTCAGCGACACCTGAAAATATGGGTATGGTAGGAGATGCCTGAGACCCCAGAATAGGGCAGAAGGTAGAGAAAGGAGACTACTTGGGCTTCCCAGACAGTCAGTCTAGTTGAACTGGTGAAGTCTTGGTTCAGTGAAAGCCCGTCTCAAAAATAAGGTGCAGAGTGTTTGAAGAACACACTTGAGGTTGACCGCCACACCTTCTCCAATTAGTCAGAGTGACTAATATGACTGAACTTATACACAAATATTTAATCTCATTGCTACACCATCATTCATTCACCTGAGTAACACATTTCTCTATTCTCAAATGGAAAGTATGGGTGAGATTATGAGTTATACGGGCAACAAACTGATAGTTAATGCCACATTCTCTGCTAGGCAGGTCTACAGAAGCCCTGCAGAGGCAGAGTTGGTAGAAGTTATTACATTATTCAGGCAGATCCATCATTCTCAGATACCTCTGTTCCATACTTAGTAAAAAGAAAAAAAAATTAAGTTTTAGTGCAGTGGTTCTCAACCTGTGGTTTCACAACCCCTTTGGGGTTACATATCAGATATTCTGCATATTAGATATTTACATTTCAATTCACAATAGCAAAATTAGTTATGAAGTAAAAATGAAATAGCTTTATGGTTGGCGTCACCAGAGCATGAAGAACTCTATTAAAAGGTCACAGCATTAGGAAGGTTAAAAACCACTAGGCCAGTGTATAAAGAGAACTTAGCCTTTGCTCATCTCTGGCTTTCAGCAGAAGATGCCTGTCCTGAGTTATTGCTCCCTATTCCCCTGACTCACCATTGATCAGGTAGGGGTGGTTGCAGCATTTTCTCAGTTCCATCATAGTATTGATAAGATTGGGCATGTTGTGCTGATTTGCGCCTTTGGTTAGGAAGGAAAAGTTTTTCTCCAGGATGGCACGGTAGTACTTTTTCTGGATATTGGTCAGTTCTACTTCGATGATGGTTTCTTGCTTGGGAGCAAGGTTCTTTTCCACATCATCTTTCAGGCGCCGAAGCATCATTGGTTTTAAGATAGACTGCAATTTCTTTACCTGTTTAGGAAAAAGATAGCTATTTATTTGCCCCAGTCTGGACTAAATGATCATTATGGTATTTCAACATTCACTATAATCTCTTCAATGTCATCATAGTATTGAGGTCATAAAAATCACATGAAAAGGGGAGCTTACAATAATATCTGGAAGAAAAGGGGATCTGGTTTTAATTCAACACATATCAAGAACGTTTGTGGCAATCTCTTAACAAGATAAAAAGGAAAAAGGAAGACAACACCTATTCTCTAGGATGGAGGAAACAAAGTTTTCTTGCTCTTTTTCCTACATACACATGCACGGAAGTTATACCAAGAAAACTTTGTCTTGTTAGAAAGTACAAGTGATACATTAAGAAGAAAGACGGAGATGCTGAAAAGGACAAAGTTAAGAACTAGAGGCAGTTTGAAATGGAGTTATCCTATGCCTTGTAAGTAAAAGCAGAAGTATTTGTGTTTAGAAGTAGAAGTGTGTGAAGAATTAATGCTATATCATAACATCGTGGGAGCTGTCATATTTGGTCCATTTCAAGTCTGGCAGTGTTCTTTGCTAAAATTTGGCTATGTGTCTAAGAGACCACACCTACACAAAGATCTCATTCACTAGACTGTAGAACAAGGTAACACATTCCCTCTTCCAGGAAGACAATGACAGTGTAGTCAAAGCACCTGAATTAACCCACATACAGTTCAAGTGTGATACCAGTAAGATCAACCCTGATGAGAAAACAAAAAAAAGGACATGAGAGCACAAAAGAACTTAATTTCCAAAGTCAAGAAGGGCTGGCTGTCTGTTCACTGTTTCTAAAAGGGGCAGGATCTGCTGCTCCCTGAAGAAACACAGCACAACTTGAGGGTCGGGTAAGGAGAGATACTTACTGAACCAGGTTTTAGACGATGATGAACATGTTTTATGTTGGAAACAGACATTTCTGAGAACTTATATGTACTGTGTTTTAAAATAAAACATTTCTTCTTTATAAAATAAGTCGAATGAAGATTACCAGAGAGTGGGCTTGGCAGATGTTGGTCAAAGGTCACACAATTTTAGTTAGATAGAACAAAGTGAAGATAGCTATTGTATAACATGGCAACTTTTATTAATAACAACGTATTCTCGAGGAATGCTGTGAGAGTGGATTTTGAGTATTTTCACCACAAAACGTAAGATGATATGTAATGCATAAATTAAGTAGTTTGATTCAGCTATTTCTATGTGTATATATTTCAAAATCTATGGTATAAAATGCATATACAATGTTTGTGTCAATTAAAAAGATATAATTAAAAATACAAAATAAACCAGACAGCTAATATTTTTTCTAATATCAACTTTAAACCTAACTGTTTTTAGACCTTAATTTTACTATCCAAAGGAATTTAGGAATGTTGTTCCCCCAAAAGGGTAAAGAATTACTATGTAAGAGCCTAAAGAGAAAAACAGTGCTAGCTAATTGTTAAAGGTAGGGACAAATGTCAATCTGCCACATGCTGGGTTCAGCTTTTGCCCTTCACTTGGTTCATACCTGAATCATTTAGAGTATACTATATGCCAGACACTTTGCTGGTCAATACAACAAACACAACTTTGGAGAAGATGTGGGCCTTGTCCTCAAGGAGATCATTGTCTAGGAAGAAGAAAAAATGCATACCACAAATTAAGTGCAATGGGAGAAGAGGATGCATTTCCAATGGTCCAAAAATGGAGAGTGGGTTGGAGCTGGCTTTTGAAGGATCAACAGATATTGAATGCAGAGGAGGAGAATTACATGTGATTTTTTTTCACTGTTTCCAAAGTCTGAAGTACATGACAAGTAAAGGCAACAGATTGGAACCACAGTGTATTCATATCAGTTAGTGGCAGTCTTAAACCTTTCTGGTGCCCAAATTCTCTACACAACACACTTTTGCACTGTTGCTAGATCAATTAGCTTTCTTTAAGAAGAAGTCTTGTAAGACTCCTCTGTTACCTTCTTGCTCTTCAACCTCCATTTCAAGATCTTCCAACAACATAACCGTGACTCTTCTGGTTTTACTTTGTACTTAGGTCATCCTGTTTCAGCCCAACCAAATCATCTGTCACTACTGTATGATTTCATGGCTCGGATTATTCTGAGCTCCCCCTCCCACGTAAAGTAGTCACTCTTCTTCACCATTGGGAACTTACCCTCAAAAGATTGTTAAATTGTGTCCTCTCCTTTGTCATTCCAGATTCTCAATGGGTATGACCTTTCCTTTTAAATGTCCAACTCTGCTATTTGTTCCTCTTATAGCACTTAACCTTGTCTGACAGATTTTTTTAAATTCCTAGTAGAGACTTCTATCAACAATAGATGAATATTGTTTTAAATTGGGTTTAATAAACTAGACTGCACTAGATCTTCTAAAGCTGGAGAACTTCAGGTAATTGAAACAAAATTAGAATTATCAGTTACTTCACATATGTGACTGCCTTTTTTTCCTTACACTGTGTAATGTATAACCAAGAAAAGTGGCCCTGGGAACATGCTGCAGATTATGGAGCAGGAAAGATAAAGGAATGAGGGAAGCAGAACACAACACCATGCTCCTGAGGCCAGAGCTACACACATCACGGGCAAGGGCATTCAGTGAAGCAGGAGGTCAAATAATTCTTATTAGCAGTAAGAATTGCTAATAATTAGGTGCCTTCTTCAACATAAACAAATATACAAAACAAAGGAGGCAATGCTCATTTTATGAGAGAGTAGAAACTTTAAAACATCCTGTCCCCATAATGACTTGCATTTTCCTTAACGTCAAGGGAACCACCACATTGTCTCAAACTGTTAGGTTCCCAATTACCTGCTCTTCTGTTTTGAGATCGCCAAACTCCTCTAAGAAAGCAGTCTCTGAAGGAAACTGCGAGGGCTCCAGAAAGTTAAGCAAACTGAAGAGTTCTTCCACAGAGTTCTGCAAGGGTGTTCCTGTGAGCAGCACTTTGTGTTCCTATAAAAATTAAAAACAGATTGTGAATCATGCTGGAGCCACAAAAATAGTGCATGTCTGTAGTGAAAAATTAGTCATGGCACTCTGTGCCCAGTTTGGGGGTAAATGTTTAATGAAAAGATAGGGCACCAATGCTGTGAAAGAGTAGTCATTAGCAGGTCAGCCCTCTTTTCACAGCAATTGCATAGTAACCAGGGCAGTCATTCGTTCACTCAGAATCGCTAGGGCTTGCCTACCTCTGTTCCGAGGTAGTCGTGTTAAGACTAACATCTCTAGTACCAGTTCACTCAGGGACCCAGCACAAACTGGAAAACCTCATGTTTCCAGGTTACAAATTTCATGGAATTTTAGTGCTCTCTATCTGTGGCAAAATGGATGTGCACAAGAAGTTCATGTTTATTTATGTAACAAGCTAGCTAGCTCTCACCAGGGCCATGAGCTTTAGCCCCTCCAGAAGTTTGCAGTTCCTGTTCTTCAGTCTGTGAGCCTCGTCGATTATCACACAGCTCCAGTGAATCTTCTTCAGCTCTGGGCAATCTGCCAGGATCATCTCAAATGTTGTGATGACGACATGGAACTTGAAGACTCCCGAAAGAGGGTTTCCCTGCGTATGACACAAACCAAAGCAGAGCTTTACACCAGGGCTACTGAATTCTACTCATAGTTCTGAGAAAACAGCAGAGACCAACAACAGATGAGAAGCCAACATGCCCTGTTTTCTCTCATATAAGAAAGGAGAAAACCTAAGAATGAACTAACTAATTAGATAAGAGAAGACCTCAGAATATCACAGAAACCAATTTCAAGTCAGTGTCCTCATGAAGAGGAGAAAGATAAAGGGCAATAAGGGAACTTTTCGTTTCTGAATCATGATTGCTAAGAAGACGATTCATGCATTATCTCCAGCCTAGAGTCTACTTAAGCCAGGCCTACCCTGAACACTCAAGGAAACCCTCTGCTACTTTCCAGATTACATCTATCACTCAGTTCTAGCACGTCTCCAACAGCAGTGTGCACGTAGCTGCTGTAAGTGCTGCTAGACAGGCTACACCTCCTTCTGCTTTCTGTCTGGATGCCACCATCACATCTCAAGAGCAGAGCTGTCTACTGTTAAAATAATATAAAATTTCTATCAAACAATGCCTACATTATCTGAATCTCTGGTTTTCCTCTGATTGATCTTTTTTTTTTTTACTTTAATTATAATAACCACTGCCTGGTGAAAATACAGAACCATACTCAATAAAGTGATAACATATAACAAAAATACAGAAAATAAAGTGTTTTCAACATAAAACTCGCCTTTATCTTTCCTTATCCAACCTGTTTATTTCCTGTACAAACTCCCTGGGCTCAAATTTTAAACACCATACACTTTTCTTTTTAATAAAATTTTTGAGACAAAGTCTCACTATGTAGTCTTGACTGACCTCACAAATAAGCAACTTCTCAGGCTAGTCAGTAAACCAAGTTTTCAGTGTCCTAAAAAAGACCTCACATGTATCTCATAGGGATAAGAAAGCACCTCTTCAATATGTGTTTTGTTATAGTCTTACACAAAATACACAGGGTGAGCAAGAAGTCAGCCTCAAAAAAAAAAAACCCAAAAAAACCCAACAAAAACAAAAACAATAACAACAACAAAAGTCAGCCTCAGCAAAAGGAACCCAACAAACAAGCACACAGTAGCTCAAGATGAAGGACTGAAGACAGGAGGCAGAAGGGCTGTTGTGAAGTTAGGAGTCTCTGGGTCTTTGGGTTCAGGTGAGGCTCACCTGCGCATCCCTGTACACCATTTCATACTGCTGAATCATCTGCCTGCTGATCTGGCTGCCATGATACACAATAGCATTCATCTCCGTCCATGTCCGGAATTCTCGCTCCCAATTAGTGATGGTGGAAAGAGGGGCAATGATGAGAAAAGGACCATGGATTCCCCTGACGAATATTTCTGAAAGGAATGTGATGGACTGGATAGTTTTCCCTAGGCCCATTTCATCCGCCAAAATACAGTTTTTTCTGCAGAGGGTAAGAAGCATGAGTAATTCATTACCAATATAGGAAATCACAGAGGTTAGTTATAACTCACTCTCATCTAAGTGAAAGCTTTATAATTTTGCAGCAATGAAACAAAAACTAGTTTTATAATTATTTATACTTTGCCTAGGCCAATTTATAAAACAAAACTATTAGAATAGAAACTATAAACACTACAAAAAACACTATTAAGACAGGGGGAAAATGTCTACAACCCAGGCTAGACTTTTTTAAATTTAATTTTTAAGTTAACTTTTTAGGTTAGCACACATACAACTGTGTTTGCTCTCATACATTATCATTACAGTTGGCTCCTTGCCCCAGACCCATGCTGTTCTCCACTCTCCCTTCAGTCTTTCCTTTCTGCTTCCGTGTCACACACACTCAACTGTACTCTTATTTCTTCCTTTCTCCCCTAAGACCTATGCTTATCTAAGCCAGTTTTCAGAACTTCACATTTCCTAGAAACTACAGTAAAGATGGAAGTCCCATTGTTTACCTTTTGTATTTATCAAAGGACAAAAGCTTAACCTACATAATAAACTCTTTGTCATGAAAGTAAAGACATTGCTATCTAGTGATCAGAAGCAAAAGTGGTGGTCCTGGAAGAGGTGTGAACACATCTGGTTTCACCCCCTCACTGTTCAGATATGTGACCCAACAACCTGTAGTTGGGTAACTTTTATGCACTGGGTCACATAGTAAGTAGCAGAGGCTACACTAGAACATTAGGACACCAGAATCCTTTCTAAGTGTGTTTTGCATTACAATGCACTAACTTAAAAATACTGACTGTTGTCTTATGAAAATCAATTTATTTTTCTCAAATATCAACAGGTTCTTCTAGATTCTAATATGAACCAGAATACAAATAATTCACCAAACAAATAGTGGAGTGAGTCTATCTGTTCTCTTTCATGGACTTTAAATTGAGGAGTGGCAGGTGTAAAGACAAGAGGCATGGTAGCACATACCTATAATTCTAGTACTTAGGAGGAAGAACAAGGGGATCAAGAATTCAAGGCTTTCTTAGTCTACAAACTGGATCTGAGGTTACCTGGGCCACATAAGACCCTATATTAAAACACTAAAACCCAGATAGACAATGCCCACCCTCCTAGGATCTTAGTTTTATTCCCCTTATCATTTTCATCAGGCCCTGCCCCTCTATCAACACACTTTCAATGATATCAACATATTTCTCCTTTCACTGCGGAAAACAACTGATATAAAAATAAAGTTCTGGAATGATCCCAAGCTGGAAATAGTGCTGCTCTTGCCATTCTTCTAGTCCATCATTAAATCTGAGGCTAAAGCAACAATACACCTAGAGTGTGTGAGCACAGGCCGGTTCAGAATCCCTCACCTGTTGTACCAATTGAAAAGAAGCCAGTTCATCCCCTCCAGCTGGTACTCCCGCAGTCGGTTACTGTTCTTATATTCACGAGACGTCTCCAGCTTCTGCCAGGCGTCAGAAGCGGGTCGCTCCTTGGGAGAAAGCAGAGAGCACAGTGTACAAAAAGGTTTTAGAAACATAACACGGAAATCAATGGGCAAGCTAGTATAAATTCCCATGCTGCTCCAAGGACGGATTCAAACTGCTTATATTTTTCTCAATGGTGCGACATTTTCTAAATCTTACCAGATTATGAATACTTCTATAAGGTTTACAAGCAGTAACAGACCGACTTAATATCTAGTGTCAGACATCTTTGCTAGGCTCTTGGATGAAATTCTCATCTACACTTTAATTTCCCGACAAGTTTAGTTGGGTTTCATGGTTTCTCCAACAGAATTTCACTTTTGCTTGTTTGTGTCTCCTATGTCAGCACAGGGAAGGACAATGAGTAAAAGACTGCACTGATTTGTCTCTGAAGTTAGCACAGGAAGAAAAAACATCTTATAATCAAATAATAAATTCTTTAATTCTCCTTACACAAAATACAGGCATTCTTTCCTTTTTATTTTTATTTTTCTTTCTACCCTAACAAGTCTCTGATTCCAATTCTGCCTCCTTTTAATTGTTTGGTACTCCGTGTACAAATGACCTAAAATCAGAAGAGCTAATAAACCTATTTCAAAATTCTTTGAGACCTATCTCAAAAACCTTTGCCTTGAGGTTCCAGGGATCTACTAAGGACCATTAAGGATTATTCACTTTAAGAATATTCTAGTGGAGTGGGGGTGGGGGATTATAAGACAAAGAGACTACTGAGGGAGCAAGAGACCCAAAACAGGGATTAGGAAAGACACTGCAGAGTTCCACACCATCTCTTCTGCATTCCATGTTACTGGTGCCAAAAGACAGATGCACACCAAGAATTACAGGTTTACACCCAAGCTTCTTACATGTTACACACATTAAGCAGAGTTCAGAGCAAGTGCTGATCTGGATGTAGATGAAGTGTGTCAAGGGGAGAGAGCATCAAGGGAAGAAGCCATTCAGGAACCCAGCCAAATATGCATCATAATTTCTAAGTTTAAAAGTTTACATGTTACAAGAGGTGTCAGACAGACACACAGACACATTACCACGTGCTTAACTTCAGGGAGAACTTGTAGAGACTCAAATTCTTTAACTTTAGCAGGATCCACATCTTCTTCTAGCTCCCATGTGCTTTCTTCATACGGCAGGGAGCACCATTTCACCAGGTAATGTGTCACCTCCTGATGGGAAAATTCAAGAAACCTGGTAACCAACCATTCTTTGCCAGTCCCGGAAAACCCACCCAACATGAGAACACATAAATACCATTAAAACAAAGATCATTTGTTGACAAGACAAGCAGTGAGTGTGGAAGAAGGGACAGCATTTTATGAAAGGTAAATGGCAACACACCTACCTCCCCCGTTTCTGCATCCTTGGTGTGGGCCACCTCTAAGATACGGTCAATTTCTATATAGTCTGGATTGAATAAGTCTTCATCAGGCTAAGGCAAACAGAACACAGTTAAGATGTGTAGTCTAGCTTTCTATATGCAACTCTTAGCAACCAGGGCTTACTTTTGAGTGGTCCCCTACTCTGGACTCTTATCTGAAAACACAGGAAAAAAGTGCTTGAGAACAAGTCATTTCACAGACATGCTGGAAGACTGTTCTCAAATCCTACTTCTCATGACTAAATTTAAAGGATCCAACCACTGAAGAAGTTGAACCAGGGCCAAGTAAGAACTTCTATAGCAGCACTCCAAAGTCAGATGAAGGACTCCCCTCTGTCTTATAGCTCACTGTTCTTTGGTGACTTGAAATGAGAATTTCTTTTTCTTAATACTGATAAAGTCCTATTCCCTGCTTTAGGTGGTAGTTACAAGTTTTATTTTGTAAAAATCCACTGAGGTGTCTACCCTGGATTTATTTTCTTATATATTTATGCATTTTATGCTTCCAAAAAGACTAAATTAGGTCACATTTAAGACTAGTTAATGTGTCCCAAGCTGTGCAAAATGCTGTCAGCTAATCCTTACTGAACAGGTGATCTAAGTACTTTATGCCTCCATGAGAAGAGAGATGGTGGGCAAAGGTATGTGTACATATTTATGTATGTACTCATACATAACTATGTAAAATAAACCATCTGGAGATCAAAATATGACGCAGCAACAGCTAAAAACACTGTTTTGGACACCATTTTTAAATAGCTTAACTACACGTATACTCATGATGTGTATACTCATCAAAACATTAAGTTGTACACCTAAAATTTATGCAAATTTGCTAATTATATCTCCATGAAGTTGAAAACAACAACTGCTCCATCAAGTGTTCTCAAGGCAGACACTATTAAGAGTCCCTCTACATACATATGAGCACACTGAATCAGCAGTGGCTTATGCAAGTGGTTCAAGGCTACCCTGCCCTGGGTGTGTACATGGTCTGCGAGAAGCCCTAGTTGTTTGACTTCAGAGTACAAATTCTGACCACTACACACTCCACTTCCAACCTCTGCACTGACTCAGTCATACTTCCATCTCTGCACCACAACCTCCAGTCCTCCTGCAGCAAAGCCCTTCACTAAGCGCTCACATCCAAGTGAACATGCTATCATGCTGAAGGCTGGTAACACCAGGCACAACAGCACTCTTCACAATGCAGCAACAGCCCAGGCAGAATGACTTGACAGGCAGTAAATTTGTGGGCAATTTAACTGGCAGTGTAATCATTTTGTCTACTAACTAATTATAAAAATGCTGAAACACTAATGCAGGCCATTAGACTCCCTTCTCTATTTTAGTCACCCCAGACTATCCAGACAAGCCTACACTCTGACTTTCTCACTGTTCATCTAACACTAATGTGACAAGGAAGCCTGCGTTTCCAGAGTGGATTTCAAGCCAGAAGGCACTTACTTCTGTGGTATGTGTGAACTCTATGCCTTGGATGTCTCATAAAGTAGTTGGAAATAATGAGCATGAAAATGATCAACCCAAAATTAAATCTCTATTAATATCTCAAGATTATTTATCATTTATCCAAGTTACTAATATAAACACCAAATAGTTGACATCCACTATTACTCATTCTTAATTCTGTGACGTACTCAAATCTTCTCAAAAGCTCATTCCTGGAACTAGAGATAGTTTCATGGTTAAGAGCACTGGATGATACTCTGGAAAGAGGATCTAGGTCCAACTCCCAGTACCCACAATGCACTTTACAATTATAACTCTAGTTCTGGGAGATCTGATGCCCTTTTCCAGCCTCTGAGGGAACAAGACACACAAGTAGTGCAAATATACCTAGGCAAAACACCAATCTACAAAACAACAATAAAAAAGCCTTTTCATTTCTACCAGAACAAACTCCTATTATACTATTCTAAAAGACACTCAACACAATTTCCCCTGTCTGCAACCAAGGAAAAGTCACTCCCGTGGGACTGTAACAGAAAGCAGAGGATTGTGTAGGTTTCATTGCTAAGTTTAGATTTATTTATTTTTTAAAAAAGGTTAAGTGCTGAAGAGTCTGAAGCAAGAAACAGATGTAATGAGCACTGATCCCATGCCTAGTTCCAGTGACAAATAAGCTGTCTGTCTGTCTGTCTCACAGGGCTTAAAATGAAAGAGCCAGACGTGTAAACAAGCTACTACATTGCAAACTCTTGTGAAAATAGAGGTGTGAAAGAAATGTTCCAAGAAATACAGAGACTACCCAACGGGCTCATGATGGCCTGTCTCATTTAGTCATCACCTTCTTTCCCCAACTCTGTTTCGGAGGAACATGCTACAAAAAAGTAGTTCTCACGGGCTTTAAACCACCACAGAGACTCTGAATCAAACTGCAGTTTTATCGAGGGTCTGTATGTGTGACTGAACCCAGGGCCTTGAGTACTCTAGGAAACTTGTCATAGCACTGACCTACATCTCCAGCACTAACTGTGAGATTACATCAGAAGGATCCCAAATGACATCATCCTGAAGCAACTGATCAATAGCAGAAGGACCACAATGTGAACCACAGTTGGAAAAATAGATGAGCAACATACTATAATTGATGGCACTTGAGCCTAAGCGGTCCTGTAACTCGCCCTGACCTCGAACTCATGGGTTTGCCTGCCTCTGTCTCTCAAGTGCTGGGATTAAAGACATGTGCCACCACCGCCTGGCTGTAAGACTATGTTTTAAGAGTATTTTTATTTTTTCTTTCCTTCAAAAGTTATCTGTCCAAAACTACACATTACATATTACAAAAAAGAAAGAAAGAAAGAAAGAAAGAAAGAAAGAAAGAAAGAAAGAAA